TGCGTCGTGCGCGCCCCGGATCCGAACCCGGGCCGCCAGCAGCGGAGCGTGCGCACTTAACCGCTAAGCTACGGGGCCAGCCCATGATTCCTTCATTTCTTTAATTGGAAAGTAACAATGTTGTCAGTAATATTCAATAATACTTCTTAACCACATCTAAGAACCCAATTTCAGACTCTGAATTTGGCACTGGTAGATAGATGCTTGCTAAAGATAGTTTAGTATGGAATCTTTCAAAATGAAAGTCTAGTCCCTGGCTTATAAATTTTCCCAGGAAGTTCACAGGTGCATCATGTTATTACTGAGTAAAATCTCTAAAAGTTTCTCACGTCCAGGCTTCTTAATGCCTTGATAGGAGAAGTGACATCCTAATGTGTCTGCTTTTGCCTCCCCCAGTGGTGTGAGCAAAATGAACAGTGCAGACGGCTTCACCTGCCTGAGCTACTAGTGGCCCCACTGCACAGGCTGACTCGATACCCCCTGTTGCTGAAGAATATCTGGAAAAGGAGTACAGACTCTACTGAGAAAATCCTGATCTACTCCATCAAGGAAAAGGTGGAAAAGTCAATCCGTAAGTCCCCGAGATGAGTGACCCAGAGCTCCAAAGCTTAGTCAAAGAGTAGGGGGCGGGCCCTGTGGCTCCTGGGAACCATTTGGGCTTCCATCCTAGAAGGTAATTCCATTGACTTGAGATCATGGCTCTCGGAAACATGGATTTGAGTTTGAGTGCATTATAAATCAAACACACACAAAACAATGGGCTCCAGTCACATCCTGGCCAACCGTATGAGAACGCTTAACACCATGTTTATGCAGGACATGGCTCTGTCTCCAAGGCTTTCAGAAGTGAGTTCAGGCAGGAAAAGTTCTACTTCCCAGATGATTGAAGGCACTTTGTTTTTAACACCCATACTGAACTCACACACAAAGCAAATGGGAGTCGACGCCATGGGAAGCCGTTCCGGAAGATAAATTACCATTCATCATTTTTTCAGTCACTGAAATCCAGGGCCAATCTTTAGAACTGAAATTTGGGAATAGGAACCAAGCAAGCCCTGTGATGACTTAAATTTATTTGTGGAACTCTGTATTTGTATTAAATTCAAAAAAAAAAGGCCCTGATATGTGCCCATAAACCAAGATTTCCTGGAAAGCATCAAAAGGGAATAGCTCAAATTGATAATTATCAGCTGTACCGAAATGATGTCTTTTTTCTTTTGCACGTTTAAAAGTAAAACTCCTATTCAATTGGGAGTTTCTTTTCTCTTTTTAAATTGTTTGTTCAAATTCTAAAATGACTCAAGGAAATAGAATTAAGCTTATCAAGTGAATAAGACAAAAATTCAATTAAAGACAGACTTTTTAAAACTTTTAAAGTAATTTTGAAGATTGTTACTCATTTTGATAAGTTTCTGAGGAAGAAAAACATCATTTCTTCTGGAGATTTCTCAAAAAAATACGGATCCTTATTGTTCAGGGAAGAGATTCCTGTGGGCTTCATTTAAGTCTATGAGCTTAAAGATGATGAATTCTCAAGAATTCCATCCACCATGTGATTCTGTGGGTCTATGACTTGCCTTTGGTGTTTCCAAAAATCATTTCAAAACCTCAATACCAATGTAATTAGAAAATGTTGCAAAATTAATACAAACCTTCAGAAGAGAAAATGAGTTCTTACCAAAAAGAAGTAATCATCCTTATCATGAAGTGAATGTATGTTTTACAATTAAGACAAAAAGACTTGCTCGTCCTCGTCCGTCTGATTTTTTTTTCTCCTCTAATTATAGGCTGTGTGGTGTAGAGAATAAGAGAAAGCTACCAAGGGCTTTATTAGTATTATTGAAATAAAAATGCACAATACATTTCCAGCTTACTGAATTAAATTAAACTTCATTTTTCTCTGCAAGAGGCTGATTTCAAATAAATTAGCAAGTTTTTCTAAGACAATTAAACAGCAAGCAATATGTTCAATAACCCTAAGATATGGTTTGGCTCTAGGGACAGTCAATGTTTCTAAATGATTAGTGTGGATCTTGGTTAAAATTTATGCTGTAATGTCTCATACATTTAAAAATATATTGGATGTATCTTTTTTTCCAGGGGATCTTGAAGGAAAAGTGAAGTGGCTTGACAATTTCCAAAAATGTAGACATCTACAGGAGATTATAGTGTGGCCTCCACTTTGGGATAGAGATAAAAGGTTTTTCATTCCAGAGGTAAAAAAAAAAAAAAATGGGGATCAATTAGGACTTACATCCCTTTCACAAGTTTGGCATTCAGGTGGAAATACACTAGTTTTACAAAGTCTCCAGCTGTCCCTTTGAGTAATAAATCTAGTTTTATGAGCAAGAAGTGAAGCCTTCATCCATGTGGCATTGTATATGGAGGGCTGATGTCATCATGCAATTCTTGGGGTGGCCCTTCTGAAAGGTTTTCCCATTCTTCCCCATTCCCGTGTCCATCTACTGGCATTTCCAAATGTCATGAACTTTCTAGACCCAGTTCATTGCCCCAGCTCCTTGAACATGTTCTCTTACAATCACTAACATCATCTCTGATTTTCTCCCTTGTTTTGCAAGTGCCTGAGACATGTTTTTAAAGAACACATGGCAGAAAATATCTTGTCACCAACCAACAGACACCTTCTCTATGAAGGAAAATTAACTCTTGCAGGTAAATAACTGCTTCCTTCAAAACCCCAACACCTTTGCTACCTTGTAACTTGTCCAACTGTTGCTAGTTGAAGGGTGGGAGGAACTGTATTTGCCTATGTTCAAGGCGATGGAAGATGTGAAGCAGACAGGATCCTGCGGAGTCTTGATCAAAGACTTCAGGGGCCAGCCCAGAGTAGCAGTTAAGTGCACACACTCTGCTGCAGTGGCAGCCCTGGGTTAGGGAGTTCGGATTCCGGGTGCGCACCAATGCACTGTTTGGCAAGCCATGCTGTGGCAGCGTCCCATATAAAGTGAAGGAAGATGGGCACGGATGTTAGCCCAGGGCCAATCTTCCTCACACACACAAAAAAAATGACTTCACAACCTAGCTAGCTATATGCCCTCCATTTTCTCGCTGTAAAACGGGCTAACTATATCTGTCTCATAGGATTGTTGTTAAAATGAATAACACATAGGAAGAGCTTAGCTCAAGGTCTGGAATATAGTAAACACTCAATGTCAGCAGTTATCACCATCATGCTGCTCCTCCAAGGAGCTGGGCAATCACCCTAGCAGTGTTAATGAGAACCTATTATGTAACAAACATTGTGCTAGGTAAGTATCAGTGGAGGATATGAAATAATTATTTTGTATAATCCTTTCCCTCTGTTTGGGAAGCTCTGCCATAATGAGCAAACCTGCAGGATAAGTTCAGAGAAGAAGAGAGTCTGTGAAGCTGAAGGATCCAGGAAAGGCTTCATGTGGCCCATGGGACTGGAGGTGGGCTTGGGGGGATAGCAAGGATGGAGGTCGGTGGAAGGACAGGAGGCAGCACACCCGGGATAAAGAGCATAGCAGGAGGAAAGGCTTGGAAGCAGAAGCCACCTGAGAGAATGGGCTCTAGCAGCGTGGTTAGGAGGGTGAGCCCTGGAGGCTGACAGCCAGGCTCACTCTTCCACTCAGCCTTTCCTGCCTGTGTAACCTTAGGCCAGTTACAGCTATCTCCCAGTGCTGCAGTTTCTCCCCGTTGTTGTGAAGACTGAGTGAGCTAATGGATGTACAAGCACTTGAAAGAATGCTTGGTGCAGAGTCAGTGCTCAATAAATATTATGATGGTCAGAAAGGGCTGCCTGACTGAAGCAAGATTTGCATTCATTCATTTATTCATTTCTGCACAAAATCTTGATTGGGCACCTACTGGGTGTGAAGCCCTGTGGGATGTGAGGTTGCCTATTTATGGTAGCATGAGATCTGATGGGAGAGCAGGGCAATAATTCCTTATTCAGTACACATCTGTTGAGAACCTGCTGTATTTTAGGTGGAGTACTAGTCAGGCCGGGACATAACCCCCACCCAGCAACTGCCATATAGGGAAGATAGACATACCCAGTGTCTTACTTTTTTATGCATTTTAAGGGCTTTTTAATGCATTTTCTCCTTTCAGTGAGTTATGCAGAGAGGTTACATTTAATCCCATGTTATGTAGGGAATCTGAGGCTCAAGGCTCCGCATCATGCTCAAGGTCACCTGGCAGGTAAACAGCAGGGTCCAGATTCAAGCTAGGCTGCCTCAGCCTAGTAGGCTTTCAGAATCACAGCAAGCGCCTTGGAAACCAAACAGAGGGACCCAACTGGGAAATTCCTGGCAGCAAGTCATTGAGTCCTTGGACAGGGACTTGATAGGCTTAAAAGGGTGTTGAAGAGTTATTAGAAGCAATGCACAAAATGGTGTAGAGGAGGAGACCAAAGCAGAGAGATCAGCCTGGAAGCTTCGCAGGGAAGCAGGTGAGGTGAGAAGAGCCTGGGCCTGTGTTTCTCAACCATTCTTAACCTGTAGACCAATCACCTCCTCCAGATTTCATTTGAAGATAACAATTTTAAATTTTCTTTGATGTTATTTACAATTTCAAAAATAATTATCTATTGTGACAAAACCAAATCAAAGTAATGAAGCAAAACACAGTTCTGCGTTCAAACATATCCGTTTCCCTCCAAAAGTGGCCTCCTCCTGGGTTTATTAGAGATTTTGATTTATCCCTTCCCTCTATCTACCGACTTCCCAACACTGTGAGATGTACGGGCCTGTTCTAAAATGTGAGAAATGGGCATGAATAGAGAAGGATAAATGTGAGATATTTAAAAGGCAAAAACAGGAAGACTTTATGATTGATAAAATGGATGAGGGGGCCGGCCCCGTGGCTTGGCGGTTGAGTGCATGCGCTCCGCTGCTGGCGGCCTGGGTTCGATCCCGGGCGCGCACCGACGCACTGCTTCTCCAGCCATGCTGAGGCCGAGTCCCACATGCAGCAACTAGAAGGATGTGCAGCTATGACATACAACTATCTACTGGGGCTTTGGGGGAAAAAATAAATAAAATAAAATTATAAAAAATAAATAAATAAATAAAATGGATGAAAGAGGAAATGAGTCGAAGATGCCTTCAGGTATTCTAATCTATGTGCCTGAAAGTTTGTTTGATAATACTGAGGGTAGAGGAGGAAGGGGGTCAGGGAGCCAATTTTAGGATTCAAGTGTGGGCATGTGAGACGCCACATGGAAGCTGGATAAATATGATCATGTTCATCTCTCGGTGAAAAGCCACATCAGTTGTGCATTCATCTGTCACGTGGGATTGGGGTGTGGTCATGGAATCATGGGAGGGAGAGTGGCCTAAGAAGGACTCTTTACAGATTGACCCAACTTTTCAGAAAACCTTTCTTGTAGAGTCAAACGTGGTGGAATGGGGCTGACCTACGTAATCGTCACTATCACCAGGTGCCTGGTTGATGGCATACGCCATTAGTCAAATTCCATCAGAGAGGAGGCACCATGTAGTAGTATCAAATCCAGTTTAAAGTCACTGGGACTTTGACTCAGAGTTGGCATAGAGATGTGGTGGGGATGGGGAGTAGTGTTAGAAGAAACAGGACACCATTTTGAATGAAAAAGCATTGGACCAAAAACTAGGTGATAAGACCAATTGTGGGCTTTGGGAAAATTGTTTCAATTCCCTTAATCTCTTCTGTAAATGTTGTTTATGGTGGTAAGGATGAGGACAACGATGACGATGATACTTAACACTTATTGTGTTTCAAAATTTCTTCCCGCTTTAAAAACTGTACTGTTGTAACCAAATAAGTGTATTTTCCCATTCCCAGAAGGTACAAGTTTTCATAGCTTTTGGAGCATAACCAACTTCCCATTGGAATTCATGCCAGCATACCCTTCACAAATGCATTGCTCCCCACAGATTGGTGTTTCTAAATAGAAAAATGAGTGAAGTGCAGACAAATACGATGGGCCAACAGCTGTAACACCTAAAGAACACCTGTTCTTCAAGCTGCTGCACAGCTGAAATGAGTCAGTCACGCTGTTCAATGCTCTAACAGTGCAACGAACACCCCCCAGTCCAGACTCTATGAGAAAAAACAAAGACCTAGTCGAGATAGAAACTCAAAATTTTGTAAGTCTCAGTTCTGGTTGTGTAGCACCTAGCTAAGCAGAATTTCAGACTCACTGTGTTCATTAATTAAGTCTAATGAAATCATTTGGTTAAAGTTTTCCACTGGGGCTGTAACGGCTTCAAACTCCGGGGATAATGAAAATGAACAATCTGACTTTATGCTTATGATCATCCTCCTTAGTCATCCTCTTTCGTATTACCATATCTACTTTTAAACACTGGCAGTTCCTGAATTTATCTTATTTTAAATCTTGTGTACATGCTTATTATGTGTCTGCTCTCACTAGAATCAAAGCTCCTTGAAGGGAGAGATTCTGTCTTAATCATTGATGCATAGAAGGCACTCAGTATTTGGTGACTGCTTGAAGGAAGACTAGGGCCTCCATAAATGGTCGCTAAAATAATCATCATCTCCTAGAATAAAGTCTAGGACATGAAGGTGCTCACTGTCTGTTTGTTAAGATAAAAGACTTGAAATTAGAAGGAGAAAACAAAACTGTTTCATTTTGACAATGAGCATCTATCTAATTCATGTGTGAGAGGCAGAGGGTGAGGAAAACAACATTTAACATGTCTTGAAGGTCTAGTGTTGTCTAAATGTCCCATTCCTAGTCCTGTGTATTAGTTAGGATATTGATTCAGCCATTGGAGACAGAGACAGATAACAATTGCTTAAAAAGACAAAAGTTTCTTTCTCTCTCATGTAAATATATATGACAGTTCCACCCATGAAGTGATTAGGGATCCAGGCTCCTTCTGTTCTTTCGCTCTGCCATCCTGGGGTACTGCTTTCTTTGTGTGGCTCAAGATGAGTCGCTAGTGTGTCTACATTCCAGCCCGTGGGAAGGGCCAGGGAGACAGGAGAGCATAGCCCTGTTGTGTAAGGATATGACTGAGAAGTTGTACACTTCTGCTCATATTTCATTGGTCAGAATGTAGTCGGTTATATTTAGCTACAAGGGAAGCTGGGAGATGTATTCTTTATTCACAGTGGGCACATACCCACTACAAGCTGGAAATTCCATTACTACAAAAGAAGGGGTAAATGGTTTTTGAGGGACAACTGGCTGTCTTTGCCACAGCCTGATTTGCAAAAAGGAATTTCTAGTAGAGATGGAATACAATTTTTAAAAAATATTCAAGGACAATTCAAGATTGAATAAAATATTTAATTTCTCTTCTATGTAAATATAGAAAGAATCTTTCCTCCAAACTTAAGAAGAGGAGATAATAAAAATGAATCCTAAATATTTTATCTACTAATTTAACCTTAGTTACCTCATTTCCAGAGGTTAAAGTATATTAGAAAGAACTTCTAGAATAATATAAATAAAAATAAATAGAATAATAAAAAATATTTACTGATTTTTCTTGTATTTACTTTAAGCACCTGTCACATTCCCCCTCCAAACGGACTGCCTTTTCCTCTGAAATCACTAAAATTTAACGATTTTTTTTTCTAATTTCTAAGGGATAGAGTTAAATAGAGAGGGGGATACCTTATTCTAGTATTTGATTTCTCTTCTACTATTTTCCCCTTCTTAGGGAAAGGTAGAAATGTCTATTTGCCTTAAGTTACTATCAAAAGTGATATCAGAAAATGTTTGTAAATGTAAAGCTACACGAAGACTATTTAAACATGTACAGTCACATTGTCAAACTTGAAAAACAAGTGGCTTTACCGACTGTTTTAATCAGCTAGGGCTGCCACAACAAAATACCACAGATTGGGTGGCTTAAACAACAGACATTTCTCACAGCTCTGGAGGCTGGAAGTCCAAGATCAAGGTGCTGGCCGATTCAGTTTCTGGTGTGAGCCCTCTTCCAGCTTGGAGATGGCCTCCTTCTCAGTGTCCACACATGAGAGAGAGAGAGAGAGAGAGAGAGAGAGAGAGCTCTTTGGTGTATCCTTTTAGGATGACACTAACTCTATCGGATCAGGGCTCCACCCTTATGCCTTCATTTAATCTTAATTACTTCCTTATTCCAAATACAGCCACACTGGGGGGGTGGGGGGCCTGTTAGGGCTTCAATACATGAATTTGTAGGGGGACATAATTCAGTCCACAGTGAGGACAAAATGCCTTTTTTCGGATAATGTATACCTCTGCCAATGACCACCCAGATGAGTCAAGAGGCAAAAATGCTGCGAGTTCAATTAGTTAATAGATGTATCCTAGGTTGAGTTGAAACCATTACAAACATCATCCGGGTTATCTTAGATCCACATGAAATGTATCACAAATACATTGTCTTTAAAGTTGGAATTGTCAGCTCGCATCAAGTCTCTGCTTTAGGGAGAAATCAGTTCAACAGGAATGTGGGTTTCTGACCCGCAGGGCTGGGCGTCCTGAGCTGCGAGCCTGGTGTGCCCTGATACGCACTCTGTTTTGTTTTCTAAGAGATTCTTTGACTAAACAAACAGACGAAAACTTTCTGTTTACCATTTCCAGCCCCAATTTCACCTTCTTTCTTTCCTCAGAAAGCACAAGATTCCTAGATGTTTATCTGTTTCTCTTTGATGATTTCCTCTTAGTTACGAAAACTAAGCGCAACAAAAAGGTAAAATGCAGCTATTTCTAAATAAATCTGCTAAATAAGTTGAGAAATAGTTCTAAATAAGTTGTGTTAAAAATATAAATGATTCTTATATGTCAAATTGGATGCCACCGTCTAAAAAATGGACGCATTATAAAATATTGGCTTTTTTAGTTGTACAGCTCTGAACTAAAAAATAACAATGACCAAAGCAAGTTACATTTCTTAAGGCGTGCATTTTTAGAATGACTTAGTCTGTATACTTTTGAGGTAAGTCCCAGAAGCCACAGGACTTTATGGCCGACCTGCTTAAGCAAATGAGACCAAAATACTTTTGTCCATATCGGCCCTTTCCTCCTCCAAACTGTCCACCACAATGACAACTGCCAGAGTGGGGGACCTCTCTAAACTGTCTGCTGCCATGTGCCGAAGTGATAACCACCACTCATTCTGACTTGAGAGTTCACATCATTCCTGAGAAATGACGATTTGGGGGCTGGGGTGGGAGGGAGCCCTGACCTCTTGGTGTCTACCTATAATTAAGAACTGCAGAGGCCAAATGAATGTATAGCTGGCATCACAGACAACATGAGTCACCTGGGGGCTAGAGCCACAAAATCTCTTCTAAGAACAGGGGATTTTTCCATTACTTAAGTATTCGTGGTTATGTTATTGTTATAAAGTTATTAATTATTATTGCTGTTGTTAGTACCCATTAAGCCATGGTCTCATGGTCCACTAAAGGCTTTCTATCTAATCTCCCATTTCACGCTCTGTTCCCTGAATGGGGTATGCCAGTGGTTAGGAGGAAAGGGGCCTCCTCTAAGGCTCTCTGATACCTGCCCTTGGTGGCGGGAGGAGGAGCCGCATATGCCTTAAGCCATGAGACATATCTAATGTTGTTTCATTCCACTCACTTCTTTGCCAAATGACTAGCCTTACGCAGATGTAAGATCATGAGACTAGATATCTCATATCTTTTAATAACCTAAGCTTCTAGGTGGCATGTTGGTTAGTTGAGCTAAATAATTTAAGGATCTTTAAGCAATAAAATAGACACCCATTAATCAATCTATGAATAGTTGATTGGTGGTTGGGGAGGGAATGGGTGTTGGAGAATATTGAGTGCAGTTTTGAAACTAGGATGGCCTCCTATTTTAACCTACCCAGACTAGCATGTCTGAATGAGTCAAGCTCTGAAAAATCTCTCTCCCCTTCAAAACCTTGCTGCTAAGCACAGCCTACCTTCACTTCAAATAATGGCACAAATCTGAGCACATGAATTAATGGAAGCCCATATTGACTGTAGTATAAGGTAATATTCTGGTTTCATGCTTCATAACTTGATTCCAAAATAAGGAATGTATCTGTTTTAAATTCCTCTTTGCTATCTAATGCACAACATATGTCATGCAAAGCACAGTCTTTTACACCCTTTAAAAAAATTCATTACCTTATATATTTGAAACAATCTCCAGTATTTACAAATTATAGATCATGGAATCTATTTAGAGTTTAGTATTGGATCCCATGGACAGAGTTAGTCAAAATGAGGCTCCCCTTTCTCATTTATCTCAGTACTGTAGAGATCTCTCAGTAAAGAGATTTGGAAATGAAGAGTTTCCCATTATGCCATGGTGATTAAAATGTTTCCCAATTACAGATGTCACCCATTATTTATTTGGGTAATTAAACTTGGGGATCGGAAACACTATGCTTTGAATCACTATGTACTTTGGGGAAATGTTTTTCAAGACCTAGAAAGAATAGTAAGCTGGATTTCAAGCAATTATTTCTAAAAATCAATTTGCTTAAGGATGTACTTTAGGTATGTGCACCAATACTTATTTCCTATTTTTTTTTTTGCATTATTTTCTTCTTTAATTTCAGAAACTTGGAGGCTCAGACACTGGTTTAATGTGTCCTTCACTTACTCCTGAACTGCAAACAGTAATAAAAGAGGGTGGTTCGTGTACAGTGCTCGATCAGCCCATTCCACTAGATAGATTGGTGGTCAAAAGTATCGATCCACTCCACGTGTCAGGTATGTGTCTCTTTTTTTCCTTCAGCATATCTGTTTGCCATCACAGAGTTTTTTATCGGCCTTTCTGGTAACAGGAAATGAATCCAATTTAAGTCTTCATAAAAGACAATACTGAGTTCCTATGTGGCTATGTATCGCTCACTCTACGAGCCAGTTATGGAAAGTGTTGAACTTAGTTTCCAATGTTTGGATGACACAGTTCTGCCACTTGCTAGCTAGGTGACCACAGGCAAGGCACTTAAGTTTTCTAAGCCATAGACTCCTCTTGGTAAAAGAGGGACAATAATATCTACCTCGGTGGGTTGTCATGAGAAGTAAATGAAATAATGCCTGTAAAGCATGCAATAAATGATAGCTATTATTAGTATTGCTATTATATTATTATTGTTAGTACTGTCACCATTGTTAAAGCACTAGTACACCACAACATGCTATGCAAGGCTAAGATATTTTATTACAATAGCTCTATAGAAAGAAACATGCCAGAAATAAATATATATGTCCACACACGTCATGTGTATAGGTCAGAAATATATATTATTTTTTTCATTTTTCAAGCATTTCCCAAGTGTCCCCTGAGAACTAGGCACTCTGTGGGTGCCTTGGAGTTCCAGAGATGAATAAGAAACAGCCTGTGTTCTTAGGGAGCTCTCAGAACAATGAAAGATCAGCAAATCCTCTGTCACGAAAGCCCCGGGACTCGAGAGACCTGAAGGACGTTGCGGTCTCCTCAGTGCTGGGTAGACGGCGGCAGTGTTCAGGAGGAAGCAGACAGTCACTCTGCCTTGGGTATAGGCTCGGAGGAGACCAGCTGAAGCCAGGCAGGAGGGGATTGCCTTCCTGTCCTCAGGAAGGAGCAGGAAAAGAGGGAACGCCACACATTCTCCTTAATGCCCACCCCAGCAGCCAAGCCCAGGGCATCCACGACTAGCGTAGGACCAACCTACACAGAGCAGAGCAACATCAAACAGTGAATGAACGAATGAATGTACAAATGAATGATGATAACAAACATTGACATAGTTATGTTATATAACCAAATCATATATTTAAATACTTTACAGGGCTGGCCCCATGGCATAGCGGTTAAGTGCGTGCGCTCCGCTGCTGGCGGCCTGGGTTCAGATCCCGGGCGTGCACCGACGCACCGCTTGTCCAGCCATGCTGAGGCCGCGTCCCACATACAGCAACTAGAAGGATGTGCAACTACGACATACAACTATCTACTGGGGCTTTGAGGAAAAAATAAATTAATTAATTAAAAATTATTAAAAAATAAAAAATAAATAAATAAATACTTTACATATGTTAACTTGTGAATGGAAGCAAACTCTCTCCCCGAGAGAAGGGCTCCACGAAGTGGACACCTGTGTCCAGAACCAGAGCCTTCTGCCTCCTGTGTCTATCCTTTCTACTTCCACTGAGATTTGCTGAAAAGTGACCTGGGCAGGCTGTAACATGTATCGTTACACCAGATTTGGCTGGGACCAATCACGGTCTATAGAGGCCAAAGTCTACATCAGCCAGAGAGCACTTCCAGAGCAAACCTAAAACGAGGCATCTCAGGGGAGCAAAACCTTTGCCTGTGAGCGCCCCCCTCACCCTCCATCCCCACTCCCAGGTGTGAGCCTCCCCCCTGCTCAGTGGATGGCAGAGCAGTGTAGACAGGCAGAGATGCAGTATGTGAGGCCCGGCAATCACTTCCTTTTGTCTGTTGAGCTTACTTTTTCATGGGGAAAAATGTCACAGCTGAGGAAGTCCTAGGCCAGGTATCTATTCTCTCACTACTGTGGCCATAGTTAGAAGATTCTGGCATGATAATTGGACGTGAGGGGACAAAGTTGTCAGAACCCCATGGGGAAGCGCGGAAGCAGCTTAGGCTGAGGGTTCAGTCTTGCCACAGCCCTGCCAGCTTGAAGAACTGGACTTGATGGGAAATCTGACATCACTGGATTACTTTGGGGGATGCATGTTTTTTCCCCTCTTTCTTTTCCTTTTTTTAAAAAAAATAAAAATACCTTTTTAACAACTATACTTCCACCATTTTTGATTATTTTCTGATTGTCACTACCATCTCTTGTTTGTTTTATTTTTATATTTGTCTCATTCTCCTTGTCTATTATTTTGACTGTTCAGATACAGTGCATGAGGCAAAATAGCTGTAGAGTGGGAAAGAGTAGAGGGTGAAGAAAGAGGAGATTGTCCTTTGCAGTGACAGAGACCTGGTTTCAAATCCTGGGTCTATCATTTGCAAGATGTGTGACCTTGGAAAAATTAATCTAAATCTGTTTCCTCATTTGTAAGTAGGAATGAGCTGACCTATCTTACACAGTTGCTATGTGATCTAAATGACACACAAGGGGAAAAAAACCATAGCAGCACAGTGCCTAGTACATAGTAATTATTGTTAATTATTATATTAGAATTTCAGGGGAAAAAAGAGCTATTCCTGCCCATGTGTTATTTCCCTATTTTATTTTACAAGCCCAGCCATACCAGGTCCTTCTGCTTATAAAGTCCCTAGTCCCCACATTACAGAAAAAACAGATGACGGATGCCGTGAGTACTGAGAACTACAGTTACGATTTTTGAGGAAAGTGGATTATCCAGCCAAGAACAACCACCTGATCTTTAAAGCTTCACTTGCTACGGGGAATTTATGAGGAGGAAAATCGGGGAGTAAAACAAACACTGCCAGATCTTTTTTCCAGAAAGTCATTTTAACAGGTTTAAGTCTTGGACAGAATTTCCTGAACTTACTAGACTTCGTTGTGGTAGAATTTAGGAAATATGAGGTTAAGACTGCTATGAGTATAATGGGTGATAACTGGAACAGTTCTTGCAGTTGAGAAAATAAATGTCTTACATTTGCTTTGATTCTGAAATGAGGCCCAACCTGCCTCGACGAATCTGAATTAAACCCACAAACTTCAGTGAATGTAAATCACGACAGTGGACGAGCATCAGCTTAATGATCAGCCAGGAAAAGACAGCGCTCTCTTCCTCCTCTCTGAAGTACTTGATGTGACCAGGAGACAACCCTGGTTTGGTTTTTTCATTTGTTCCTAAACATAAATCAACTATAAAAAGAATGTATGGGCTGCAGAATTTTATTCCCTGAGCTGTATTAATAATTCAAGGAAGAAGCTTTCATTTTAAGAGCTCCTGCTATATAAAAAAGGAATCTGCTCTCCCAGTATCTCCTGTCATTTAAGAGACCAGCTAGGAAATGACAGAACAGACTATTTCTTTTGCAAACACAGAAACCATGCCAACGTTTCTTTTTGTTTTGTTTTCCATTTCACATAATTTGGTAGATGTTGGATTTTGAGTCAGTTTTCTGGCTTTTCTTGACTTGTTGTGAAGCATTCAGGTGGTTTTGTATTATTGCCTCATCTTAATTTGTTTATAACTCTTGTTTTGACGTGACTTCCCTTGAAATACAAAAATAAATAAAACATGTTAGAAAGCAGTGGTGAGGGTCAAAAAAGAAACAATTATTACATTTTTTCCGCATTTTTATTATTTACATTTCACACACACAAAATCCACCTAATATGCTAAGCTTCTTCCTTGCGGAGGAGATCCCTTGCAGGACATTTGGTTCTGTCCAAAACGTCCATAAGACTTTTGGTCTATCCGATATTTGGGCCATGCCAAAAGGTCCTTGACATTTGGCTCTGTCCAAAACGTCAAAATGAGCATATTTGGTCCATGCCAAATGGCTTTGGACAGGACCAAATATCAAGGACCTCTTGGCATGGACCCAGTGTTTCCATGGATGTTTTGGATGGGACCAAATGTGACCACATATCAAGGACCTTTTGGCATGGACCAAATGTCTGATGGACGTTTTAGGCAGAACCAAACGTCAAGGACCTTTTGGTGTGGACCAGATGTCTCCATGGATGTTTTGGACAGGACCAAATGTGACCAGATATCCAGGACCTTTGGCATGGACAAAATGTCTGGTGGACCTTTAGGGGTAGACCAAATGTCTTATGGACATTTTGGACAGGACCAAATGTCTGCTAATCAAGGAGCACATTTTCCATCACTTAAGCCATTATTGCATTTCCTCAAGCCCCAGAAGTCGTTAGCTAAGAAAAAAAAGATTTTCTTATTTAAGTGGGCTCCATTTGGACATAGTAGTGAAGTCTTGGTCTCGGAATCAGATTTTTTTTTCTTTTTTTTTTTTTTGCTAATCTACATAAACCTCCCACCTTCGTTTAAAAAACAAACAAAAACTCCAGGTCCTTGTACTGAGAAACTGCTTGGATGTCACATTAAATGATTTGGATTTTTGTCTTTGTAATCTTTTTCTAGTCTTTGGGCTGAGAAATGCTTTCCTTATACAACATGAAAACAGATATCAACAGTGTATAGCAGCATTCTTATTACAAGCCCAAACGGAAAACATCAAAGTACGTATTTCATTTTGTAGGTTTTGATTCTTCAGACTTGACATGTGGAAAAGTCTCATTCCAAGCTTCTTAAGTAACATTGGATGGAAAGTTTTGTATTTCCCTCACTGGCTTTGGCTGGGGCAAAAGTTGGGAGGAGGGAGGGATATGCACATCTAGTCCATCATGCTCAGAAAGCTCAGAGGAGGCAATTTCCTCACACCCGCAGAGTTGACACAGCTGCTCTCCTTTTCTCCTGTGGCAGAAGTTCTAGAGCTGCTTCTGAGTTCTGCAGCTTCTATAGGATATGGGGAAGAACTGCTTTGGATTGCATGACTGACTTTTAAGATGCTCTAATCAACTCCAAAGTCCCAGTATGCAAATAATGTGATGTCACCTTAAGTAGTAGTGCAATAATGAACCATGTCAAGTCTGCTCTTTAAGTTTTGAAAATACACCACTGTTTTTACAGCTACGGAGTTGAAGAGCAGCTGCCTGTCTGACTCTGGCTTCTCTACCTTAGAAGTTTCCATTTTTGTCTTTCCTCTGGTAGGCTTTCATCATAGCTACAAGGTGGCCAGACAATAAATAATAATAAATAATGCAATATTGCATTATTCCTAAGGACTCAACTTGGTACCTCCCTCAGTCTGTTTTTCAAATTATGCCACCGGTTAAGAACTTCTATTTCCACACAAAATAGAAATTCAGCTTTCAAACTATTTATACATAATCTTGGTGCTCATTTTTCTAATTAGTCATTGATTATTATGGTTCTTTGATTACTCATGACTGTTTATCCAACTTGCATACCATACTCATTTAATTCATTTGCATTTTCATATATGATTAGAGATAGTTATGAAATGTTAGATGTAAGGAAGAAAATGGGAAATATGCAAATGTTTCATTAGTCTTCAGTTTTAAAGAGCAAGTCAATAAATACAAAGGAAAATATTAACCCAAATATGTGAGAAATTGTCAGTTTAACATTCTCTCTCTCTCTCTATATATATATATTTCTTTTTACAGAAAACATGGATGACACAAATAACAGCAGCTGTCTCTTGCTTCACCAAGAGTCAAGAAACCAAGAAAATATCTTCACTCACACTGCCTGCAGAATCCTCTGAAATTTAGGGACCTAAAACAAGTGGCACACCTTTTTAGACATTAGGAATTAAGGTATTCTTTCATTCAAATCTTTGTAACACTTATCTAGTGATAAGCTAGAAGGAAATGTTCATTTTATAGGAGTTCCAGAATTTGAGCTGGGAAAATCCTCAGTATAGAGGAATAATGACTGCAATAAATTTGAACTCTGAGGAATTTCTTGGCAAGCATATACTGATATCCAGACTTAGAATGTTTCAGTCGGGCTTGCAAGAGGTGTGGGTGAAGTATGGTGCTATTATAATTTGTAAAGGGTCAATGATCAGAAAAATAGAGTGTCAGGAGGAACACAATGTCCACTGCTTGTGTCCAGTGTGAATTCTAACATCTTACTTTGTGTATATCTATAATGAAACCAATTTTCCTACATGGCTTATAAGTCAGTCTTACTGCTTTACAGTCCTACCTCACACACAATGATAATAGTTCTTTTGATACAAAGTTTGATTGCACTTTTAATATATTAAGCAATAAATAAAGTTTACATTTTAAGAGCAGTTTTTAAATTCCTATTCTCCAACAGTTTACTTATCTTGGGTATACCATATAATACTCTAACTTGGAAGTAGAAAATCCCAAAGACTAAATTCCATTAAGGAAAAAAGCAAATATCTGTTCCAGTTTCACCAACTAACACTTTCACATGGGAGATTTTCATAGAAATAGTAAGATGTCTTTAAATCTCATTTTTTGAAGAATGATGGAGTTTCTCATAAAACTAATTTCTGGTTTTAAGTGGCGTGTGTGTGTGTGTGTGTTTTAGCACAGTATAGTCACTTAATTTTATTTGGCAGGACTTGAAACTTCATTAGAATTTTTTAAGAAAGGCAGCTTGAATTATGATAGTACCACGGTGGAATACACTATTAACTACATTTAAGGAACTAGTTCTTATGGTCAGATTATATCAAATGGAAATTCATAAATTTTAATTTCAGGCACAGTACCTTTTGCAGTTTCCAAAATGGAAGCAGTAAATTTATCAACTTGGGCTGCAAGACAAAACTACCTTAAGTGATCTCCTTAAGTTGTAGAATGAGATAGAGGATGATGTTTGCGGAGGTCCCGTGCACAGTTAATTCTTTGAGGAAAACGCAGGTTTCACCATGCAAACCAGGCAGTACAGACAAGTGCAGCATAAAGGCTCTTGTACAAGGGCCAAGCACTATTAGAATGGAGGGTCACAGTCGCTGTATAATAATGTCAGACATTTTTAGGAGTAAGTGAAAATAAAAGGAAAATCTGGAGAACAATAACTACTGTTAATGTTTAAGAATAAATGAGAAAAAGAAAAGGCAAAGAAGGAGAGAATAGACTTCAAATTCTTTCCTGGAGATGGGACCTGGAGGAGAGTGAAAGCAATTATGTCCAGAAGACAACATAGATGTACGCAATGGAAGACTTAGGAAGAAATTTCTGGCCAAAAAATATGTTTTTAGAAAAAGAAATTAATCATTTTGCAGAGATTTTTAGATATAAGCCAGCCTAAGAGGAGGGCAATGGACTAGGACTAGGCAATCTCTCAAGATTCCTTTAGTCTCATGAGTCCAGTAACCATATATTTATACGTATAAAGTAACCATATATTTATACATATAAAGAACTAGTTTCTCCCTTAAATCTCATTAAAGGGGGAGAAAGATTGACTAAAGTAACATCAAAGATGTGAAACAGTTTAAGAATATGCTAAATACAAAGAAATATTGGCACTCCTACATTCATTGCAGCACTAGTCACAAAAGCCAAGATGTGGAAAAAATCTTAATGTCCATCAACAGATGAATGGATAAAGAAAATGTGATATATACATACAATGGAATACTATTCAGCCTTAAAAAAAGAAGGAAATTCTTCAATATGCAACAACGTGGATGAACCTTGAGGACATTATGCTAAGGGAAATAAGCCAGTCACAGAAAGACAAATACTGTATGATTCCACTTACATGAGGTATCTAAAAATAGTCAAGTTCATAGAATCAAAGAGCGGAATGGTGGTTGCCAGGGGCTGGGGAGAGAGGGAAATGGGGCGTTATAATCAATGGGCATAAAATTTCAGTTAAGCAAGATGAGTACTGCTATACTGAACACTTACAAAGTTGTCAAAGGGTAGATTTCATATTAAGTGTTCCTGCCACAATAAAATAAAATTTTTAAAAAGAATATGCTATATATTTAAACTGGAATTCTATAAAGCTCACAAGAGAATATATCTAACATATAATATACTAAGTGCTTGAGGATATACACGTTAAACTCTTTGGAGGGAAGAACATTAGAGTAAAATGAAAAAAACACTTCTGGAACTTGGTTCCTAGGAATAAACAGCAAAAACCAAAGGTACGTTGAGCCTTCAGAAAAGTATCTTTAAATGGTCACTTGGGTATAAAACTTGGATATACAATGAAAGAAAGGATTAATTTAATATTGTTTAATATGTCTTTTTAGTTTGTTAATTCTCCGTAATAATGAGTGGAGTGAAAAGGGAACGTCTCAAACAAAATGGCATTAGTAATTTCTCTTGAAATTATGAAGTTAATTACTCTTCTAAGTTGAACATTAAAGCATACCTGCCATCTATATCCAAGTGCAAAGTTCTAACATTCTATAAATAAACTAATGCAAAATGGTTAATATTTGTTCTTTTTTAAATAAACAAAATAATTTGTCACAGAATACATATACTAGAAAGAAATGGTTTTTTAATATCATCTTTAACATATAAAAAAAAACAAAAGCAACAATTCAATAAGGATCCTTCCATTGTTCTTCATACAGATTTAAATGCTGTCATGTAATTTACCATTGACAATTATAATCAGTAACCTTCTAATCACTGAGTTTAGAAATTATTACAGTATTTACTGAGCTAAAGTCTCTCACAAAATAAGGCACAACTACATGATCACAAGTAGTAAACACAACACAAATAATGAATCCAACAACTAAATGAGAAAATATTCATGCAAAAGTATCTACAGAAGCTATGAATATATGATCCAGTTCAAGGAAGTACAGAATGTCATATACATAACCGCATCATGTTACAATAAATTCATTACTTCTACACAGAAAGAACTTAGCTATTTCAAATTGTATTTTATACAATTTTACATAAATTTAGTTAAGTTTATGCACAAGATTCACATCTGCAACAATAACAAATTGATCATTAAAATTCAGGCAAAGGGCAATTAAGACACGATAATGTGTGGCACATTATAATTACAGAATACCATTCATCAAGCTCATGTCTAGGAATACTAGATTGATGGCACATTTAAATCTTACGGATCAAATCACCCATGGTTTTATAGCCAAAGTGCATAAAAAAAAAACCTGCTATAGTCAAATAGGTCATGAATATCAAAATATATGATCATCATTTGCTCTCCACTTAAAAGCTAAACATTTTTATGCAAATGCAAAGTTAAAAAAAAGTGGCTTTAAAGTTCTCAAAACTATAAAATAATCATACAGCCTTTTTAAGAGAGATGGGAAACTAACAAATTTGGCAGTTACTATTTAACATTACTGTGAGGAAACAAACTAGCTAATTCCATATTAAGAGGTAGTTGAACAAAATGTTATTTGTATACTGCATTGAGGTTTTGTGTTTTGTTTCCCTCTTTTTTTCTTCAAAATAAAAAAATCCTATACCAGCAGCTCTGTCTTCTTTCTATTAAAAAATTCCGTAGGTATAGGTCATTGTACACTAACCCAGCAAGACTTGATTTTAACTCACATTTCTGTGCTGGGGTTTGGAATTTACTAATTCGTGATGCCAATATGTTGTGCATTAGAGCCAAGAGCTGGGACTCTATGCGTGCCGGCTCTAACTCACTGACAAATAATACCAGCAGACATCTAAAATGTAGAGCCAATAAGGACACAAAAGATGACTTTTTAATTAAAAGAAAAAGAAAACCGTTTTTGTTTCCAAAACACCTTAAACTGGTGAGACTTTAACAGCGAAAATGTTAGGTTTCATTTCTAATATTGTTAGTATAGTAGCTTATGGTAAATTATTTGGGATCTATGAAATGAGATTAGATGGATAAAAATTAGAAAATCACTCAAACATATATGATTTTATTTATTCTCCCCACAATTTTTTTGTGAATATGAGGGTGGGGGAACAAGACATGGAAAAGGTCTTCAGTGCACCCAAGTGGAAGATGAAGTGAACAAATATTCTAATCCAGAAGAATTCTCATGAAGTTTTATCATCTTAAGAAAAATAATAAACAGTAGTGCTGTGAATATTTTTCCAACACATTTATTACATTACTTATATGTAAAAGAAAGAATTAAGACTATTTGCAAGAATTTATAAGTATAGGAAAATGCATAAATAATTTTAGTTCAATTTATATTATCCAAATATTATTTTTAATAAAGAGCCACTGTATTTCTTCATTATATATGTTCAACAATATATGTTTACCGAAGTCCAGGGACTCAATCAGGGTCCTTAATAGTTATTGACGACAGGGTTTATTTAATGGGATTTTTAAAAATAATTAAATGAATATGTGGCAATCTCTTTTAGTTTATATGTTCTAAGTATAGCATAAACATAATTTTATTTCAGCATGATATCTGAAAGCAAGTATATATTATAAACTATTTATTGTAAATGAAATATTAACTCCCATCCTTCCCTGCTATTATCACCAAATGACTGCACTGAATGAAGATATAACTTTACATTTCTTCTCTACAAAGAGTAATAAACCAATATTAATGATTTGTCTCTTCAGATTTTTCCAATTTTCCAAATTAATAAAACTATAATTTAAGTTCAGTTTCATTGTTCAGCATACAAATAAGCTAATTTTTAATTATCCTTAATTTAGCCATTCTGTTTCAGTTCTGATTATCGGATTCCGAAATACATTTTCAGTAATACTTTGTTCTCCAGCTGTTACTTCAAGATAATTTCACAGCATTATTTTTGCAAAGTAAAAAGATTTACCCGTTGATATGGAACCGCAAATTGAGAACCATTTTAAATTTAAGCCAAGTTCACAACTTTTAAAAATTCTTCCCTATTCTGTAAGAAGAAAATACGAAGTAGAATATTCAACATCTCCTTTCCATTTTGTATTTGATTTTCACAGATAAAACTACGGCAATAGCAGTTACTAGCTTTAAGATGCAAAATTATAAAACAATTACAGTGAAGCTGAGCTATACTCGGGAAGGTTAAGCCAAATAAAGGAAAAAAAGCACATCCATTAAAAAAGCGAACTCTGATTCCTGGAGATGCTGGAAAGACAAAATGAGGGTATAACATGAAGGCTCATCTCAGAAAACTTCCCACTTACAAGAATCTGAGAATAAGACCATTATACAATTATTTTTCATCTTCCAACTGGAGCTGAGGGTGGGAAGCTTTGTAGGATTCTTAATGGAGACTATGTAGGAGTTTAAACACGAGACAGAAAAAGACGAAAAGAAAAATTAACCCTAATCTTTAAAATACAATCCCAGGATAACCATAAAGTAAGCAAATTAACTTTACAGGGGTTTTCATAAAATCCACCCAAGAGAATTTAATCAGTATTGTTAAAACAAAAACTATGTTTGAATTTATGGTTAATACATATTTCAACATAAATTGTATTTAGAACACTGGAGT